CACCATGCCTGGCAAAAGTTGGTTTTATATTAAAGGGTATGGCTATAAGGAGAAATCTACTTGATATGGCTATGTATACAACCAGAAGTCTCAACTGCTTACCAGGTAACCACTGCCACCCTTGGTTTGGATAAAAGAATTACAGTCATTGTGCTATATACATCATATACCCTGAGATAATAGGCTTTTCTAAATGGTTATTTTCCCCACTTACGCACTCACACTACTTACTAGTTCCCATCCCCACTTTCCAAAGGACCTTATTTCATGATTTTGATTTAAGGATGCCTATATAAAAAGTCCCGTTTATTCCATACAAAAACTGAAAAACAGATTTGTTCAGGCAATATTATATAGATGAGAGGTTTAAAATCTGGTGCTCAAACCAACCTAGTTGTCTCTCCTGATTCTATTTAAGAGCATCTTGTATTGATTTACTGTTACTGACTCCAGTGTGGGAGGTAACAGTACATTCTATATGCACTAGTCTCATGGGAACTTCTATCCTGTTTTTTACAATGAGCCTTGCTCTGACTAGTTACTAATAATTAGAGGATCTCTTTTATAACAGTATTGTCTGAGTAGCCTAGAGTGTTTCAAAGGCATAATTAATTTATACAATCCAATGAAATAGATGATGAACATCCTTCCTTATTTTATCTTATTTTAGAGATGGTGTCTCGCTCTGTCACCCAGGCTGGAGTACAATGGCACAATCTCAGCTCACTGCAACCTCTGCATCCCAAGTTCAAGTGATTCTCCTGCCTCAGCCTCCCTAGTAGCTGGGATGACAGGTGCCTGCCACCAAGCCCGGCTAATTTTTGTACTTTTTAGTAGAGGCAGAGTTTCACCACTTTGGTCAGGCTAGTCTTGCCCACCCTCAAATGATCTGCCTGCCTCAGCTTCCCAAACTGCTGGGATTACAGGATTATATATGGGGAAAGACAGTAACACACAAAGTCATTTTTGGGGGAGATGTAAAACTGAGAGAAGACAGGTAGCCTGACTTTCAATCCAACTCAATAACTCCAATTTGAAGGTGTATGCAATTCTGTATTTGGCCTCAAAAGACACATCAATCAGTTAGAAAAAGACTACAAAAAGACAAAGAAGTTCTGCAGAAAGAAATATGTCATACAAAATGCCCCTACAGCTACGCTATCCAATATGAATAAAAGTATGTAAAGTCACTCATGATAATCTTTTGGATCTATTGGCTTAAATGCATTATGAAAACTAATTTTGCCTGTTTCCTTTTACTTCTTTAATGTGGCACTAGAAAATTTTAAATTATATTTGTGGCTCACATTGTATTTCTATTGGACAACACTGCTGAAGAGATAGTTATAAAATAAATACCTTAGATTGTAGATACTTTAATTCTATTAGCAAATACTTATTCTACATCTTTTACTGTCAGGCTTATGCTAAGTGCTGAGATTTGAAGAGTGAACAAAGAAAATGGTCCCTGTCATCACAGAGCTTGCATTATCTCCTATACTTCTGGACATTTCACATAGTCCCATTTGTGATTATGCATTAGAATAACTTAATTTAGGATACCTTACCATTTTCAGGGGCAAATGCCATACTTGACTTAGAAATCACAAAATATAAGTCAATAGATTCATGCTAATGAGTTTATTTTTCTGATATAATATTTATATTAATATGCTATATAATATTTATCTGGAAGCCTAATATCATCACATTCCCAAAAGTTTCTCCTGGTTTCTTGCTCCTTCCCTTTAACAACTCTGGCTCCCTCCTTATGGCTCACTTCTACCAGTCTCTTCAATTGGCAACCTGCCTGCTATTCAAATCATAAGGACTATTTTTACCCTCAGGGGTCTCCCCAACAGGACAGAAGTTAAAAATGCTAAGTATACATAATTTTATGGGGCCAACTCCAGTTTTTTGGACCAAAGACTCAGTTTATAAGTTTCTTTTGGGCGTAAACAAGCTAACATGATTTCTGAGCAGGGTTTTGCTTCAGAATTCACTGCACAAACTTATTTGAGACTTAAAACAACGGATCACTTCTGTCATATTGAGAGTTTCATATAACAACACCTTCTCAAATAGGACTTCTAAAACAAATTAACACTAATTCTTTAGTAAATGATTTATAAAATAAAATACTAGATAATATCAATAGGATAAGACTATATAATGGTTTTAAGGCTAATGGCATAACTTTCAAAAAAATGTTACCAATAAAAATAATTCTTCAGGAGTTAATGACAGTGATAAAGAAAGCAACACAAGCAAAACCTACTTTATCAAAAAGTGTTACTTTTTTCCACTTTGATACATAAAGTATCACTGACATATGATAGCTTTTGAGAAACAAATGAAATACACAAGTTTTAAACACCCAAAGTGATTTCACTGCCTATTTGGTTGAGGCCTACCACCATCTGAAATACAGGTATGTTTAGCAAGGAAATATTATCCCTTAGTCTTAAGATGTGCAGGTATGGTTAAGTAAATGAATTGTTTCAACGTTAGGCATCTTCTGTCTGCTAACAAAGAACTGGCATGACTTAGAAAATTCATAATTACTCCTAGTTGGAGAAAAACATTTCGGAAGAAAAATTTAGCTATTCTCCGTAAGCAGTAAGATGAACATTTTGATAAATAGCTTTTAAGCTGAAGTACTACTCCATATATATGGGTCAGACAATGTAAATTAAACTACCATTTTGCTATGATATGCTAGTTTGCCAAATACAATGCAATATGCAATCAAATTTAAATTTAGAAATTCAACTTTACTTCGGGCTTTTGCCCAAGGTGGCCTAATTTTTATCTTGGCGAAGAATATTAAAAGAGCATAAGCTCATTAGTTCAGTACAAAACCAGCCTGCATTTGACAGTCAGTTTTCACTTGTTAATGACATTAGAGAAACGAATAACAATTCCCTAAGATTTCCTATATAACCTGAGTACAGATGACATAAGTGAGCAATTCAGATGTAAATATTAATATAACAAAATTTATCTCCAGCTTACTCTGTGCCCAGCACTTGACTAGGAACTTTTACATGTTATCACAAATATTTTGCCTTCTTTTCCCTACTTGGAAATTTCAGAAAACTACGTATCTCAACCATCTGTGCCCTGTAGATTAAAAACGACAACAACAACAACAAACTATGTGTGTTGGAGAAGGGGGAGAAGTAATTTGAAACCAAAAAATTTCTATATAAATCTAAATAAGTGTTCAAGATATAAACTGCTGTAACAACAAAAAAAACCGTAGGGGGCAGGGAGTGTCAGAACCTTCCATAATATACAAGTGATTATTTCAAATAGTTAAAACAAAAAGTTTGCTTTTAATTACCCATATTTAATACTAAACAACCCCATAATAAATAGTATCCTTCAATCCAGCCCCATTAAAATAGAAGTGACCCAAGTGTCTTACATCCTCAACTGCAAACACACTGCTTTACGACTTCACTTACATTCAAATTTGGGAAGTGCATTTACTTTCCACCAAGATGCTAAGTATTTTATTTATTCATCCATGTTCTTGAATGAAGTATCTTTAAAAATACGAATCTTAGCGCCTCTCAAATGTTAAGTAGAAAATAATAGTTTTAGTCAAGCAAAATACTTCAAAAACTCAAGAAATCACCAATTTTTAAAAAAAATCCCAACACTGGTTGACAGTATAGCCAGTTCTTTACATTAAGTCTACTGATCAACTGAGGGATCCCCTAAATGAGAAAACAAAATTTCCAGTGGCCACTATTTGGATACTAAGAATTGGGTTGTGCTTCAACTCCTAAAATAATGTTGCAGTTTTAAAAATTAATCTTACTGGAATCTCCTGGAAGCTGAGATAGTGAAAAAAATACACTAACATTAGTTGCCAACTGCAATTTTTTCCTCAAAAAGACACCTTGCGATGCCATTAAAATATTTTTCCAGGGACACGTAAAATTTGAACTTCAGTTAAATTCCATACAGTAATTTTTAAAAAGAGAACATTAACCAGGGCATTAAACTAACAAATTTTAAAAGTGTTTTTTAGCACAATTTGGTTTATCAAGTCCCAAGGCTTAATTCTAAATCTTTACCATGGAACTGTGGCAAGGAAAGAACATTTGAAAATACGATCATCGCCATTTTCTAAATAGAGAAGTATTTACATTTTAACTCAATTCAGATAGTTCAGTCAGTGTTAAATAAGCATAAACAGGTAAACACGGTAATGGCTTGCATTATAAACAGAAGTGGTAAAATGTGTATTAAGACGGGTAATGGCAAAACTGAAAATAAAATTTAGGTAAACCGTCAGACTTCAAACAACCAAAAGTATCAATGAATCTATGTTAAAATAAGAAAAGATAAAAAAAAAAACAATAAAAAGCCATGTTCTTAAAAAAAAAAAAAAGTGGAATGTAAAGATCACAATTTAAGGCAACCGATCAAAGGAAAGGACTGCTTTAAGCCTCCACTGTTTGCTAACACTTAAAATTAGCATTTCCAGCCAACACCTAGGTTTGAAAATTGCAGCGGCACTTAAACGCTGTCTTTTCTAACGTCACCCCAACAGAACATTCTGCAACACTGTGGACAGTAAACATTAAGCAGAGTAAAGCATCGTTCATGTATTTATCTCTCCAAGGGCCAATGGGAAAAAATTAAACCTTTCTCTCTCCCATATATAGCCTTAACCACTCTCTTCCCTCTTTTTATTTACTGCCCTTGTCGCGGGGTTAATGAACCCTAAACTTCTTTTTCTTCTTCCCATTAATGGAAATGGGAAAAAAAGAGCAACTGCAGAGTGGAACCCAGATAGAAAAAACTGAAAATTCAAAGTAGTAGCATTACTTGCTGGGCGAGGGCTGGGAACACCCTAAAGGCTTAGCAAGAGGAGACAATCCCGGAAGACCCCCGTTAACACATACTTCACCCCAAGGCTACACCGTTTTGGTGTGTTGCGTAATTTTTGCTTTTAAAGGAGGTGGTAGCAGTCCCGGACGAACCTTCCCCGGAACACAGCTCCCCTCCCTAGGGCCCCAGGCAGCACGGCTTGCGGGGCGATGTCCCGGCTCCGAATTTGCAGCGAGGCCCGGAAATCGATCCCGTTAGAGCCGATTTCACCCGTCAGGAATGCGTTCCGCCCCCGCCGCCTCCCCGCGGCAGTCGCCCTTGGGTCTCCCCTGCTTCAGGGGCTGGAGACAGCTCGAGGGGAGCGCCGCCTCGGCCCGTCACAATATCGCCGGGCCGGCCGCCGGCCGCCGGCCGCACAGGCACTCGGGCCAGGAGGACAGGGCTTGGGGCGGATCCCACGCTCCGCCTCGGCCCCCGCGGCCCAGAAGGCGCCCGCGCCAGGGCCGGGTAGGGGACCCAGAGCTGCCCGAGGCCTGACCCCCTAAGCCAGCCACGGCCCCGGGCCCACGCTGGACACTGGAGGGGGGCGCCTTTCCCACGGGACTTCCGAATCCATTTCTGTCTCGGGGAGGGGCGCGAGGGCTGCGGCCCGGCCAGAGCTCCCTGGGTCGTAGGCGAGAGCCGCCCCTGCTCTCCCGCTCCGGGGCGCAAGCTCCTCAGGGTGCCCGCCCGTACCTTTAACTCCTCAGAGCGGCTGCAGCGCAGAGCGGCGGGCTAGTAGGCCCATCTCCCAGCAGCGGCGACAGTGGCCTGAGGAAGCGCGGGGGAGGGTCCCGCCGAGGCGCCTCTCAACCGGGGCGGAGACGACTGAGGGGAGGGGTCCCGACGGCCGCTTTCCCGAACTCCTCCTCCGCAGTTGCGGCTCGACGGCTGTTCCCGGGAACCTGCGCCGCAACTACCACCTCCCCCTCCCGCAGCCCCCGCTTTCCCCGCCTCCTCCTCCCACTTCTTCCTCCCGCCCGCGGCAGCCCCGCCCCGCCCCGCCCCGGCGCGCCGCCCGCGTGCTGTGCGTCATGGCGTCACGCCCACCGCGCCCGCCGCAGGCGGGTCAGGACGCGGTTGTTCACTTGCGCAGGTTCGTTCCGCGCCCGCGCAGGAGCCGCCCCGTTGCACCCGGGTGGCCCCGACTGCGGCCCCGACGCCTGTCACTGTCGGAGGCGACTTCGCCTCGAGCGCGCCGGGCGTTGGTACCGGTGTCTCCCTGCCCGGTTCTCCGTGGCCCCGAGAGCGTCTCCTGCAAGGACAGGTCGGGGTGACTGGAGCTGCGCCCGGTTGAAGGGAGTTGCCAGACTTGGCGACCCTGGCTCTTGGCAGTTTGCCGGGCAATATTCATTCCTTTGTGTTCTCAGGGTTCACCTGCTAGATCGGCCGGCCCAGGGAGAGAAGTGCCAGAATGTTGCAGCTCTCGGCGAGGAAATGTCCTTTCCCAGAGGGCGGCAGCACCCCGTGCGTCTGCAGCCGCCCTATCTTAGTCTTAGTGGACCTGTCTTTGCAGAGGCTGTTAGGAGCAGTATTTTAGCCACGATAGCAAGCCTTCGTGAGGAGAGTATCTTCCACTCATCTGTTTTATTTCTTTTTTTTGCTATTTTGCAGTCACGTAATCAGAATTCCTGTTTCATCTCTAATACATTCCTAATTACTTTAATCCAGCTTTATTTGTTCCTTCCTCTCATATCTTTTCAGCCAGTTATATCCCCTTTGAATGTTTCAATCTACCCTGGTCTTGGTATTCTTAATTGAATAAACAAATTCATTCTGGGCCTGGTGCATTTCCTCCTGGTTTATTTCTCTTCAAGATTTAGATCACTCTTCCGTGGAATACTGAGAAACGAATGTTACAGAGCCTGGACAGAATGTCCATTTGCCATCTGTTACTTAACTAAATATATCACTCTCTCAGTCCTTGTTTAGTGTGTCTGTGTAATTTAAATTAGGAACAAACCAAGGAGCCATGGTCTTTCCGAATGTACTTGGTATCTTTGGTAACCCAGTAAATGTTTACCAATTAGAAAATTGAACAAGCTAGGCAGTTTAGGTTTAAGTGTCTTTGACCTCGAATCTTAAAGGAATTAATTATGGGTATGTTTATTTTCATTTATGGAAAGTTTTAAAGCTGTTATACCTTTAAATGCTACTTGAAGGCTGCCAGCGACTTTGCATATGGGATACTTTAAGCCTACAGATAGCACAAGAATAGTAAGTTAAGTACCCGTACATAATATCTTTCTTGAAAATACATCAACATGTTGGCCGGGCGCGGTGGCTCACGCCTGTAATCCCAGCACTTTGGGAGGCCGAGGTGGGCGGATCACAAGGTCAGGAGATCGAGACCATCCTGGCTAATACGGTGAAACCCCGTCTCTACTAAAAACGCAAAAAAATTATCTGGGCTTGGTAAAGCAGGCGCCTGTAGTCCCAGCTACTAGGGAGGCTGAGGCAGGAGAATGGCGTGAACAGGGGCGGCGGAGCTTGCAGTGAGCCGAGATTGTGCCACTGCACTCCAGCCTGGGTGATAGAGCGAGTCTCTGTCTCAAAAAAAAAAAAAAAAAGAAAAAGAAAAGAAAATATATCAACATGTTAAACAACATTTAAGTACAGATGCTGCTTCTGGCTTTCTTGTCTTCCTAAAAATTAGAAGGACTTTCTATTCTTCACTAGGCCAAATAAATCTATTAAAAAAACAAATACTTATTGAACATCCCTGACTTGAATTCCTAGAGGCACCTTAGACTCAGGCCGTCCAAGATGTAGTTTGTCCTTTCCTCAAAGCGTGCTTCTTTCATTCACCCAGACACAAGCCAGAAACTTAGGATTCTTCACAGGCCCCATTCTTTTTGTCCCTTCAAATTAATAACTAACCACCAAGTCCTGTTTATTATACTCCAGAAATATCCCTGTGCTCTCTCTTCTATATCTCCCTCTGCTTTTAGAGCAGTGTTTTCAACTTTGGCTGCATATTCTTATGTCCACGTTGCACCCACCAATTAAATCAGAATCACTGAGGGTGGTGCTCAGGCATCAGTAGTTTTTAAAACTCCCCAAGTGTGCTGGGCACGGTGGCTCACACCTGTAGTCCTAGCACTTTGAGAAGCAGAAGTGGTTGGATCACTTAAGTCCAGGAGTTCAAGACCAGCCTGAGCAAGATGGCGAAAATACAAAAATTAGCCTGGCATGGTGGCCCACGTCTGTAGTCCCAGCTACTCCAGGGGGCTGAGGCAGGAAGATCATCTCCATAGCATTAGGAGGTCAAGGCAGCAGTGAAACCTGGTCACACCACTGCCCTCCAGCCTGGGCGACAGAGTGAGACCCTGTCTCAAGAAAGAATGAAAGAAGGGAAGGAGGGAGGGAGAGAAAGAAACTGGGCACAGTGGCTCATGCCTGTAATCTCAGCACTTTGGGAGGCTTAGGTGAATGGATCACTTAAGTCCAGGAGTTTGATACCAGCTTGGACAACATGATGAAACCTCATCTCTACAAAAAATATATAAAAATTGGCGGGTCATGGTGGCACACTCCTGTAATCCCAGCTCCTTGGGAGGCTGAGGCATGAGTTGCTTGAACCTGGGAGGCAGAGATTGCAGCAAGCCGAGATTGTGCTACTGCACTCCAGCCTGGGCAATAGAGCAAGACTCCATTTCAAACAAAACAAAACAACAACAACAAAAATAAAAAATAAATAAATAACCTCTTCCCAGGTAATTCCAATGCATAACCAAGGTTGGAAACCACTGCTGGGGCCTCATTATTTCTCACTGGAATACTGCAAAAGCCTAATTGGTCCCAGGTGCCTTATTTTTTGGCCATATTCTCTTTTATTTCCCTCCTCTCTTCTAATTCATTTAACATCAATTCGATAAACATTTGAATGCTTACTATGTTGGGGATGGGGTGTTTGCCGTTACAGGCACTGAGACTATAGCAATGAAAAAGCCTACATATCTGTTTGCATGGTGCTTACATTGGGGGATGAGGAGTAAAGAAGGAAAAATAATGAAAAAGAAATACACCTACCAGAGTAACAGAAACCAGAGAGGCCGTAAGTTAGTTTGGTCTCTCAAACTAACGTCAATTCTTCTGACATTTGAGCTGGATTCTATAAGACAAGAAGAAGGCAAACTAGTTAGGAGGTGGGGAAGACAGAGGAACAGCAGATGCAAAGGTCTTAGCCAGAAACACTTGTCAAATCCAAGGCAGCTAGAGGCTGAACATAGTAAAAGGGAGGGGAGTATGACATGGGCCGGGGGGCAGGTGGGTGGTCAGAAAAGTAGGAGGCAGCCAGATTATTTAATACCTTTTTAGGCATGGTAAAGAGAATTCCAAATGATTGATATGAAGTGTGATGAGACAATAGATGTTTAAGCAACGTGACATCTGATCTGTCTTTGAAAAAGTTCACTCAGGCTGTTCTGTGGATCAGATTAAGGCAGAGCAAGAGTGGAAGCAGGGAGACCAGTTAAGAGACTATTCCAGGAATCTAATAAAGATGTCATAGTTCTTTGAACCAAGGTGGAGACTGTGGAGACAGAAGTGGATGGTTTTGGTTTTGGTTTTAGAGGTATAATCAGTCAAACTTGCATGGAATGGAATAAAAGTGGCAAGTAAAGAGAAAGAGAACTACTTTTCTTTTTTTTTTTTTTTTTTTTTTTTGAGACAGAGTCTTACTCTGTCACCCAGTGCTCAATCTTGGCTCATTGCAACCTCCACCTCCTGGGCTCAAGCAATCTTCCCACCTCTGCCTCCCGAGTAGCTGGGACTTCAGGCACGTGCTACCATGCCTGGCTAATTTTTGTATTTTTTGTAGAGATGAGGTTTTGCCATGTTGCTCAGGTGGGTTTTGAACTCCTGGGCTTAGGTGATCTGCCCACCTCAGCTTTCCAGAGTGCTGGGATTGCAGGCATGAGCCACGTGCCCAGCCAAAAACTACTCTTTAGTGAGTACATACTATATATACTATATATAGTACACTATATGTACTCTTTATTTAAAGAGTACCTATATTTATTGAGTACATATACTATATATACTCTTTATTGAGTACATATACTGTATGACAGGCACTATTTTGATTGCTTTGTAAGTATTAAGCCACTTAGTTTATCATAAAGAGTCCCTAAAGCTCCCATATTAGGATCTGAGGCACAAGAGTTTAAGTAATTTGCTGAAAGTTACATAGCCAAGTGGCAGAGCTGGGATTTGAACCATCCAGCAGGCTGGTTCCAGAGCTCATGCTCTTCTCTTAACCCTACCTCTGGCCCCTTCGCTGGTGTCACAGTCCAAGTGAACATTTCTTTAGCCACAGTAAGCTACTAGCACTA